CCAACCGATCGTGCAGCAACATGGACGTGATAACAGCCTCCAACGTTCTAGTCGCTGGTGATGCCCCTGTTCCAATCAAATCGATAATAATTGGATCTGTTCTTAATGGTACGTGCCGGTCTGCGAGCTGGGGACAATCCTTGGCAACAGTCGACAAATTTCATTACTTGAATGCTCAGGCTAAGAATACCCGGTCTGTCTCTAGTCACCGAACAATTGTTACAATCAGAGGAACCATGGTAATTAATACTCCACCCAGCTGAAAACTGGCACCGTGGACATACCAATATTATAATATTTGCGTGATCCAATTAGTCTTTGTTCTGTAATTATATTTCGTCAGCCCACAAAGCTGTGTGTTTCAACAGAAGTGTTTTGTGGCGTCAGGAATTGGTTTGTGTCTATTCAGGTGATGCCTATATATGGTTACAGTTCCCTTAGGGGTGATGGTTTAGTGCTGTTGGGTCCCCCGGGCACTGGTGTACGGGGGTGATGGGAAGATCATACCGTGATGTGATAATGGTAACATGTAGCCATGGTAATTGTCCTATGGGTAGGACAACACAGGCTTACTTTAACTGCTGTATAGGGCTTCCTCTGTTATGTACCCACTGTGTTTACAAGCCAATAGAATGATTAATTCCAAGATGAAAGGTGCCCTTTAACTCACAGTTGCCACATGATACCATCACCTTTCGGGAAGGGAATATAATGTATGTAACACTTCATTGATATTAACGCGGTTCCTATGGGGACAGAGCCATTCCATCACACGACCAATAATCTTGGAATTCCTTTCCTGCATGTCATTTTGAGTACCAGCATGTCCGTCGCATCTTCATATCAAATTATGCTTTCTGAGTGTCATCCACACTTGGAAAAACGAAATATCCGTACCAAGGACGATTATATTGTAAATATTCTTTATTCTAAACGAATGAATATATTGTAAATATATTTGATTCTAAACGGATGAATTTATTGTAAATATGTTTGATCTAAACGGATGAATATATTGTAAATATGTTTGATTCTAAACGGATGAATATATTGTAAATATGTTTGATTCTAAACGGATGAATATATTGTAAATATGTTTGATTCTAAACGATTGAATATATTGTAAATAATATGTTTTGAGTTTAAACACAATGCCGATACATTGCGTGCGGCATAATTAAAATGTATTTTGAATATAACAGACTTCAAATTGTTTAGAAAAAACATTTATATGTTCTAAACATAAACCTAAACCTAGGTACAAAAGAGTTCATTTTGGGTATTTAGACACTGTAGTATGACTTGTTGATTCAGATTCCGATGTCGTGTTTGTAGAAATGACAACCTTCATAAATATATGATAAATGCCAGAAATGAACAAAATACCCATTAACTAAATTAGCTTTGACATCGGGAAGCGAGTGTCAAATCGCTGATTACTATTGACGATGCCTGCAACGATCTCAGCAGTGGCGACCTCGCCTTGTCTGCTGCAAGCCCTCAGATTAGAGGGCTTCTATACTCACATTTACCTAATTACCACAACACTGCTGGTCATGGTCTCAGATGGCACCTTCGGTTTCAAGACACAGAAATTCGATTTACTGAGAGTTCGTCTGAAATAGCTGTGTATTCTTGTCATATTAAGAGTATACTACTGTCAACACATTGTCAAGATAAAACTGTGTATTGTGATGCTAATTGTATATTCCTGTGCACTGTTCTTGTCATAATACCGGTATTGTCTTGTGATATATTTTGTATAATCGTATCACCACACTGATATCTTGTCAAAATAACGGTAAATTGCTGCCCTTTATTGCTTATCACAATTTATAAACTTCATAGCATGTTAAATATATCCTGTAGGATTTAAATGAACTCATCCATGCAGGTTAATTTGATGGTAGCATATGTGATGCAGCCCGGTCACAGATTAACTTGGCTTGCTTGGACGCCAGCAGCAGGCGTACAACAGAGACTGTTTAAAACGGTCGAAACCATTTCTATCGCCAGCGTTATTCCTTTAAGCCCACGGCATGGGCTTGCAACATTGTCCGTGAGGGCAGTGGTCAACGAGAACCATGACATGGTGTCCGGGCGGCCATGTTGGGTCAGCATGTCCTTGGCTGCGTAGAGAACCTTGTGTTGTTTGAATTCAATGTCAAATACAACAGGCTCAAAGGTGTGTGTGTGTGTGTGTGTGTGTGTGTGTGTGTGTGTGTGTGTGTGTGTGTGTGTGTGTGTGTGTGTGCGTGTGCGTGTGCGTGCGCTACGCAAAGAGTACAAAGCACCACATTGGACCAACCAGGTGATGTAATAAAGTCTTCATGGCCTCGATGACAAACTTTGTTAGTTCAATGAAGATTTTGATATGTTTATATACGTCGAGGTTCACTTGGTACTCAGACTGGAGTGCATATTACTGCAGAATTTCTGTAAGCAAATCGTTCATTCCATTGAGTGTTATCTGCTGACAAGGACACTCAAACTATCAGATGTTCCACATTCATGGAGGTAAACATTGTGTGCTCTAAACATTCCTTTATAGCATGTATATACCTGCTAGTCGCGTCAACACGTGTTTTGTGTAGTCACATCTGAAACTCCATATAAAGAATGGACCATAACATAAACGCCCATTAAACTAAACGCCTTAGCAAAAAGAACAAACAAAAAACAACCAGAAAACTAAAAACAACAAACAACTCCCCCAAAACACCATTTGTATAGTGACTTAAATGAAATAAACACCAATGGATATTTGACTGTACGGTACTTGATACTGGTGTCCTGCTGGTGTTCTGGACTTCACGGAGCGATGAAGTAGCCCAGTGGTTAAAGCTTTCACTCATCATGCCAAAGGTCCAGGTTCGATTGGCTTGATGGTTACAATGTGTGGACAAAATTCTGCCGTCCCTCGTCGTGGTATTGCTGGGTAACTCGCTCACTCACTCACTCACTCTGGACTTCAAGGTTGCAGTGTTTCGTAGAATTGAAAACGTTCTCCGAAACACTGCCAACACAACATATAGTAACAAAAGCTTTTTTCGTCCGTCAGTTCATATATTATCAATGTATTTTAACTTTCTCCCGTATTAAACTAAACCTGTCCAAGCTTTTAGGTTAAGAAAAAAAATGCATCTATATCTTATAGATTCCTTGGCCTCTTTTCGCTATGGAGATGTAATTCAGTAGGCTCGCTCTGTCAGGTGCACGTGCCACCATGGCAACTTACTGGTGTTCTTGCGGACTATCCAGCAGAGCCTATCCTAGGCCCGGGATGTGAGCCATGGAAGTCAAGCCCAATTACTTTTGTCCAACCTCCAGGTGATTAACTACACAAGTGGGTAATTACACTCTGTCATTGTAAGATTTGGGGTCATCTGTACTTATTTAGGCGAAAGAAGTGGTGTTCTAGCGGGACTCGGTTTGATATCCTTGTGGCAGGATATGGAACGCAGGAGTAGCTGGGATACAGACCAGATGGGGAATGTGTCGAGGAAAGGCTTAACTGGAGACCCGGTCGTGTTTTTCCTGTAGAAATGTCTGGGATTAGGGCTTCTAACGTACGACGAGAAAGAGGTTTTGGATCCGTGATTGGTATTTCTCCGTGTCTATAGATGGTACATTAACTCTTTAGGGCTTGTTAAGGATTAGTCTCCCTGTGTTAGAAGACGAGATGAGTGTATCCTGAAGGTATAGAGGCAATTCGTTGCATTCCATTCGAGTTGGCCAGTGAATGAACACTTCTTGCAGCTACATCAGGGGCGGCGGGGTAGCCTAGTGGTTAAAGCTTTTGCTCGTCACACCGAAGACCCGGGTTCGATGTCTCACATGGGTACGACGTGTAAAACCTATCTCTGGAGTCGCCCACAGCGACATTGTGTGAATATTACTAAAAGCGGCCCTCTCAGTCAATCTAGCGCTAAATCCCAGTCAGCTGATAACGGGCTGGACATATCGATCAGTGACAGGAAGCATGGGCGTATATTCTTGTCATGTTAATATTTATCTTTGTCAACACAATGGTTAAGTCTTGTCAAAATGAGACATTCATGTATTGTGATGTTAATTGTATATTTCAGTCAGGGCACCGTTCTATTCTTGTCATAATACAAGAATTGTCATGTGATATATTTTGTATAATCGTATCATCGCACTTTTATTAAAAATCACAATTTATAAACTTCATTGCACGTTAAATACCTAGATGATTGCCAAACGATAAGCTATAACGGATTCAAATGAACTCCTCCATGCAGGTTAATTTGATGGCAGCATATGTCATGCAGCCCGGTCACAGATTAACTCGGTATCCATGGACGCCAACAGGCGTATAATACAGGCTGATGAACAGGTCGTGGCCATTTCTATCGCCAGCGTTATTCCTTTAAGCCCAAGGCATGGGCTTGCAACATTGTCTGTGAGGGTAGTGGTCAGCGAGAGCCATGCCATGGTGTCCGGGAGGCCAGGTGAGGTCATCATGTCCTTGGCTGCGTAGAAAACCTTGTGTTGTTTGAATTCCATGTCAAATACAACAGGCTCAAAGATGTGTCTGTGTGCGTGTTTTGTGTGTGTTGTGTGTTGTGTGTGTGTGTGTGTGTGTGTGTGTGTGTGTGTGTGTGTGTTGTGTGCGTGCGTGTTTTGTGTGTGTTGTGTGTTGTGTGTGTGTGTGTTGCTCTTAGACACCTCTAACAGTGTTAGGCAGCTGCAACTGTCACAGCGCTACACAGAGTACAAAGCTCCGACGTTGGATCAACTAGATAATGTAATAACGTCTTCATGGCGTCGATAACAAACTTTGTTAGTTCAATGAAGATTTTGATCTGTTTATATACGTCGAGGTTCACTTGGTACTCAGACTGTACACTGAGTTCATATTACTGCAGAATTTCTGTAAACAGATTGTTCAGGCTGTTGAGTGTTATCTGTTGACAACGACACTAACGTCATCAGATATTCCACATTAATGGAGGCTACCATTGTGTAGCTCTAACCGTTCTTTTATAGCATTCGTATCCATGCTAGTCGCGTCAACATGTGTTTTGTGTAGTCACATCTGAAACTCCATATAAGGAATGGACCATAACATAAACGCCCATTAAACTAAACACCTTAGCTAAGAGAACAAACAAAAAACAACCTGAAAACTAAAAAACAACAAACAACTCCCCCAAAACACCATTTGTATAGTGACTTAAATGAAATAAACACCAATGGATATTTGACTGTACGGTACTTGATACTGGTGTCCTGGTTGTGTTCTGGACTTCACGGTGCGATGAAGTAGCCCAGTGGTTAAAGCTTTCGCTCGTCATGCCAAAGGTCCAGGTTCGATTCCCTACATGGTTACAATGTGTGGACAAAATTCTGCCGTCTTCAGCCGTGGTGTTGCTGGGTAACTCATTCATTGACTCACTCACTGACTCACTCACTCTGGACTTCAAGGTTGCAGTGTTTCGTAGAATTGAAAACGTTCTCCGAAACACTGCAAACACAACATATAGTAACTAAAGCTTTTTTCGTCCGTCAGTTCATATATTATCAATGTATTTTAACTTTCTCCCGTATTACACTAAACTTGTTATAGCTTTTAGGTTAAGAAAAAAAATGCATCTATATCTTATAGATTCCTTGGCCTCTTTTCGCTATGGAGATGTAATTCAATAGGCTTGCTCTGTCAGGTGCACGTGCCACCATGGCAACTTACTGGTGTTCTTGCGGACTATCCAGCAGAGCCTATCCTAGGCCCGGGATGTGAGCCATGGAAGTCAAACCCAATTACTTTTGTCCAACCTCCAGGTGATTAACTACACAAGTGGGTAATTACACTCTGTCATTGTAAGATTTGGGGTCATCTGTACTTATTTAGGCGAAAGAAGTGGTGTTCTAGCGGGACTCGGTTTGATGTCCTTGTGGCAGGATATGGAACGCAGGAGTAGCTGGGATACAGACCAGATGGGGAATGTGTCGAGGAGAGGCTTTACTGGAGACCTGGTCGTGTCTTTCCTGTAGAAATGTCACGGAATTTGGCATTAGGGCTTCTAACGTACGACGAGAAAGAGGTTTTTGATCCGTGATTGGTTTTTCTTCGTGTCTATAGATGGTGCATTAACTCTTTAGGGCTTGTTAAGGATTGATCTCTCTGTGGTAGAAGACGAGATGAGTGTATCCTGAAGGTATAGAGGCAATTCGTTGAATTTCATTCGAGCTGGCGAGTGAATGAACACTTCTTGCAGCTACATCAGGGGCGGCGGGGTAGCCTAGTGGTTAAAGCTTTTGCTTATCACACCGAAGACCCGGGTTCGATGTCTCACATGGGTACAATGTGTGAAGCCCATGTGACATGTATATCTAGTGTGCCAAATGCCACAGAGAATATAAAGGTACTATAACCATTTCAATTATCACAATAAATTAGGACTAAATGCACGATAATGTGTACGATTCAGACTTTACAATGAGCATGTGTTAATGAATCACTATCATATGGTGCTCAGACATTTTTAAAAATGTACGCATAGAGGTGGGCATATCTAGCGCTACCGGGGTCACCCGTCACAAACACACGCGAAGGCAAGTCAACCGTTCACTGGAATAGCCATTACCAGACATTACCAAAAGACATTACCAGTAAAGAATGGACCATATTTCAATAACTACATAAAAAGGATCATACTGCCAGATCCCAGGCTACAGAAATCATTGGATACTTGGATACTGTGTCCCTAGTACGTGACTTTACCGTTGTTGTTGCCGCTCTATGGCTCCATCTGTATGTTGTATCGTTGTATAATATTAGATATTTTTAATATGGTCCAGCTGTTGTAAGTCTGCTTTGATATATTACTTGTTATTATACAAGTGTAACGTGTGACAAGTCACAATGTGGCTGACATTTTATCGACGCGAGTCAACAATAAAACCGACTTTCTAAATCACTTGAATACGTACTCTCTCAAACACTCTTCCACTCATTCACTCACTGGCTCACTCACTCACTCACTCACACGCACACACTCACACACTCACTCACTCACAGAAATATCCTACTGGATTCACTAAAATATATACCAGCTTTTTCTCAGTCAACGATGCAGAAAAACTATCTTCCATACAATTGCCGGAGTCCATTATAGATATGAATACAGAATTATAAATACATGAAATCTGATTTAAATGGTAATTTCTATTATCAAATTTTATCATGAATTTACAAAGTAATTGCTTTTATCGTTCCCAATTTAATGCGTCATTTATTGCATCAAGGGACAACTTTGATGTGAGAGGCAACTGTATAGCCTAACTCTGATAGGAAATTAATGATGCTGAAAAATGGTGGTGTATTCGTTATTTCACTGGAGGATATCACCGAAGTAACCACTGGAGTGTATCAATAAATTTATTATCGGCGAACATCACAATAATACGTCACTGGATTAAATGACTGAACAGATCAGCGGAGTATATCACCAAATTATGCTTGAGTATATCAGTGAGGAATGTCACTGGGATATCACCGAAGTGACCTCACTAGTGTATATCATCAAATATATTACGGGGGTACATCACTGCAGTACATCACAGGAATATATCACTGAAATATATCACTACAATGTACCACTGGTGTATATCACTGGAGCATATCACTATGTATCTCTAGAGTGAGTGAGTGAGTAAGTTCAGTTTTACGCCGCTTTTAGCAATATTCCAGCAATATCACGGCAGGGGACACCAGAAATGGGCTTCACACATTGTACCCATATGGCGAATCGAACCCGGGTCTTCGGCGTGACGAGCGGACGCTTCAACCACTAGGCTACCCCATCTCCCTTTATCACTAGAGTGTATAACTAGGTAGATCACTTGATTATATCACGGGGGTATATCACCGATGAGTGTATCACTGAAATATATCACCGTGGTATATCAAAATATTTATCATAGCTATTTATCACAGCAATATATCACCACTATGTCACTGTATAAGTACATTCTTAGCAAATGTAAGGAGTATATCATTGGAACATACCTCTTGTACTGAACAAGATTAACCGCAAAGTTATTTTGACTATTCCCCTATTGTAATGTTTGTTGTTTTCAGTCAGCATGTTGTTATACGTTCTACAATAAAGGGATTAAAACAACATGCATTCAGGTTCTAGGAACCATGTCATCTCGTAGAGTAGTCGCCATAATGACCATTAGAACCGCCATTTAGAATCTGGTAAAATCAATCCCCCATGCCCGTCTGTAGATCTGACAAGGGATGGTATGACCAGGCTGACTGACTTGTTGGAAGCATGGCATCGTATCCCTACATTAGATCGACGTTCATGATGCCAGTCATATATTCACACTGCGCAATGACAATGCAAGGCTATATTTTTAGCAAACTACAGTGTTTTTTCACTTACATAGACAATTGGGCTTTTTTAGGAAGCATGTGTTTTTTCGTTACATAAATCAAAAGTAGAATATGAAGGGTTACATAAGCAAAGAATAAGGCCGTGTTTAATCCTTTGATCTTTCCCCAAAGAGAATCCATCATCGCCTTCCCCTTTGAAGAGAGAACTTGAGCTGAAAGTAATTATCTCCAATTGTGTGAAGTAGCGTTGTGATCAGTAAGAAACCCATTCCTGAAATCTTATACCTATTACAGGAATTGTGCATTTGAAAGACGGGGAGTACAAATTAAGATAACATTTTTATTTATTTTTAAATTTTTCTATTTCAAAGGGAGTATCTTAATTCCAATGCTGTCCCACATTTCGAATCAAGGCCCACTTATAAGATTGATCTCAGTTAATGTATCAAAGCTCCGTTGGGTTGAAACGTATCAGCGTTAGAATGCTGTCAGCTGGGAGCAGTTATTCTCAATTGCCTAATGTATTGTATCTCCATTTTACTTGGACCCTGTTCACCGATAGATTTCTTTCGTGGTTTAGTTCGTAGTGCTCCTACCCAGAGAGCGGAAGTTTGGTGGTTCGGCCCCCGACTGCGTCATACAGATGTTAAGAGATGGTACTTATTGTTTACCTGCCTTGCGATCGGCGGACGACCATGTTAAACTGTAGAATTGCAACTCAATAACTTAGTGGGAGAGCACTGTAAAACAGACATGAGTCTTGATAAGAACACACATGCGCGCACACACTGACAGACATGAGTGAACTAATCTCAACGAATTAAACATCTCAGTCTCTCTGATGGCACACATTGTCTCTAAATCTTGGATGTTATTTATTAACGTATTTATTTCACTGTCTGATACTATACATAACTATTATTTACCCCCTGACCTACGTGTATTTACTGGGCCCGTTTACTCCCACCTGTACGTGTATTTATAGTGCCTGCTAACTCCCAGACCTACGTGTATTTACTGGGTCTGTTTACTCCCACATGTACGTGTATTTATTGGGCCTGTTTACTCCTAGACCTTCGTGTATTTACAGTACCTGTTTACTCGCAAATGCACGTGTATTTACTTGGCCTGTTTACTCGCAGATGTAGTGTATTTATAGTGCCTGTTTACTGCCACATGCACGTGTATTTAATGGGCCTGTTTACTCCCACATGCACGTGTATTTAATGGGCCTGTTTACTCCCAGACCTTCGTGTATTTATAGTACCTGTTTACTCGCAAATGCACGTGTATTTACTTGGCCTGTTTACTCGCAGATGTAGTGTATTTGTAGTACCTGTTTACTCGCAGATGCACGTGTATTTATTGGGCCTGTTTACTCACACATGTGCGTGTATTTATTGGGCCTGTTTAATCCTAGACCTTCGTGCATTTATAGTACCTGTTTACTCGCAAATGCACGTGTATTTACTGGGCCTGTTTACTTGCAAATGTAGTGTATTTATAGTGCCCGTTTACACCCACATGTACGTGTATTTATTGGGCCTGTTTACTCACACATGTACGTGCTTTTAATGGGCCTGTTTACTCCCACATGTACGTGTATTTAATGGGCCTGTTTACTCCCACATGTACGTGTATTTAATGGGCCTGTTTACTCCCAGACCTTCGTGTATTTATAGTACCTGTTTCTCGCAGATGCACGTGTATTTAATGGGCCTGTTTACTCGAAGATGTACGTGTATTTAATGGCCTGTTTACTCCCAGATATACGTGTATTTATAGTGCCTGTTTACTCGCAGATGTAGTGTATGTATTTGGCCTGTTTACTCGCCGATGTACGTGTATTTATTGGCATTTTTACTTGCAGATGTACGTGTATTTAATGGCCTGTTTACTCGACGATGTACGTGTATTTAATGGGCCTGTTTACTCCCAGATATACGTGTACTTATACTGCACGTTTACTTCCAGATGGATGTGTATTTATAGTGCCTGTTTACTTCCAGATGTACGTTTATTTATAGTGCCTGTTTACTCCCAGATATACGTGTATTTATTGGGCCTGTTTACTCCCAGACCTAAGTATGTTTATTGTGCCTGTTTACCCCCAGACCTACGTGAATGTTTTTAATGAATGTCTCCAGCCAGACATTAACTATTGTTGTGCCTGTTTTTACTTCCAGACCTACGGATACTTATTGTGTCTGTTTATTTTCAGGGTCCAGAACAACATCCTCCTACTCGTGGGGGCCGCCGGCGTCTCATTTTCCATGGTCCTCATACCCGCCTGCGACACCCTCGGCGGCCTCATAGTGGTGCTGATGATTATGGGCTGGTGTATGGGCTGCATTGACACTATCGCCAATCTGCGCATGATCACCCTCTTCGGCAAGAACGTCGGCCCGTTCCTACAGGTGAGGTGTTGCCAAGGAGATGACGTCATGAGCTTGAGAGCAGTATCTATCCGGATGGTGCTTGGTGCATGTTCATATCGCTTGTAATAATAAAAATAAGTGCAAAACACAATCGGTTCAAGGAAGCTGCTGTCCACACTACTCAAAATATGTTAAGGTTCACCAAATGTGTACATATGACGAGATGTAATGTGCTATGGGGCCCTACGTTTCTCACTTATCTGTGCAGATGGGCCTTCCTCATCCGTACCAATATAATGGGTTCGAATCCTTGATTCGCAGTGCTTTTGCCCAAGGTTTGTCAGCGCCTGTTCTCATACGTTTCAGCAAAGTGAGAGGTGACCGAAAGAAGACAGCATTACTCCGGGCTTTCACCCCACATTATGCTGACACGCCTTGATACAACACATGTTCAAATGGGAGTTCAAACATTAAATACAGTCACATGACTTCTCCATTTGTACCGGGGATGGTGGTGTAGCCTAGTGGTTAAAGAGTTCGCTCGTCACTCCGAAGACCCGGTTTCGATTCCCCACATGGGTACAATGTGTGAAGCCCATTTCTGGTGTCCCCCGCCGTGATGTTGCTGGAATATTGCTAAAAGCGGCGTAAAACTAAACTCACTCACTGTTACCGTATCCTTGTCCACAGGCGATGCACTGCTGTTACGGTCTCGGGGCGTTCGTCAGTCCAATGATAGCCTCAGCATTCCTCCTCAACATGGACTGCACCCCCTTCGTGGACGGCTACACCGTGGAACCCCACACCTCTGTCGAGATGAAGGAGAATGTCTCTGTTGAAGTCCCCCCTCAGCCTCGGAAGGTCTTCCGCTACCGGAATATGAGCCATGTTCCTATAGCATTCTACATACTAGGAGGGCTGCAGGTAAGTGGTTTGTAGTTAAACTTAAGCGACAGGCGGCTTGCAGTCTAACGTAAGCAACAGCCGGTTTGTAGTCAAACATAAACGACTGGCGGCTTGTAGTCAAACGTAAACGACAGGCGGCTTGTAGTCAAACAGCGACAGGCGGCTTGTAGTCAAACAGCGACAGGCGGCTTGTAGTCAAATGTAAACGACAGGCGGCTTGTAGTCAAACAGCGACAGGCGGCTTGTAGTCTAACGTAAACGACAGGCGGCTTGTAGTCAAATGTAAACGACAGGCGGCTTGTAGTCAAACATAAACGACAGGCGGCTTGTAGTCTAACGTAAGCGACAGGCGGCTTGCAGTCTAACGTAAGCAACAGGCGGCTTGTAGTCAAACAGCGACAGGCGGCTTGTAGTCAAGTGTAAGCGACAGGCGGCTTGTAGTCAAACAGCGACCGGCGGCTTGTAGTCAAACATAAACGACAGGCGGCTTGTAGTCAAACTTAAGCGACAGGCGGCTTGTAGTCAAACATAAACGACAGGCGGCTTGTACTCAAACTTAAACGACAGGCGGCTTGTAGTCAAACTTAAGGGACAGGCGGCTTGCAGTCTAAGATAAGCAACAGGCGGCTTGTAGTCAAACATAAACGACAGGCGGCTTGTAGTCAAACAGCGACAGGCGGCTTGTAGTCAAATGTAAGCGACAGGCGGCTTGTAGTCAAACGAAGCGAGAATGACAACCGGAAAACTGTTAAGCAGCACTCACTATATGTTTCCACGTGTCATGTTCTGAATTCATATGGCCAAACCCTTATTTTTGTATGCACACTGACATGTTCAAATATATCTAAATGGATCTGTTTTCGGTCATAAAACGCTTTGTAATTACTTCTTAACTAAATTGCCAGGCAAAGAAGTGTAATCCCATGTCTGATGTTGGATCAATCTGAAACAAGGAAGAAATGGTTATTCCATGGGGATCCATTCAATACGGGCATAATAGTTTGTTGGAGCTTACGCTTGTTGTGTTTCGGCGAATGTTTTCATTATGTGTGTAGGGCAAATCCAGTTTTCATGCGTATGCTTTCTTTATCGGACGTCTTTGCCAGTTGCTCACAACTTGCCACCATGTTATATAACACAGTCCTTACGACCATCGACCCGTGAAGAGCCGAGTTAGAATTGATCTTCAGTAACCCATGCTTGTCGTAAGAGGCGACTAACGGGATCGGGTGGTCAGTCTCGCTGACTTAGTTGACACAGGTCACCGGTTCCCAATTGCGTAGATCGATGCTCAAGATGTGACGCACTGGATTGTCTGGTCCAGAGACGATTATTAACAAACCGCCGCCATATAGCTGTAATATTGCTGAGTGCGGGGTAAAACTAAACTCACTCACTCACCTTACGATCATCTGCAGGAACACACAGTGATGTTGTATTCACTGTTCAGTAGCAGGACTAGAAGTAAGGAAATACGAAACCTACTTGCATCTGGTAGAGACCTAGGTATTAACCTTGTTGCTCCGGACAAAAACAGGTGGCACCAGCTGCTCAGTATGAAGTCATATGCAGTGCTTGGGCTTTGGTATTGATGATTTAGAACACCATTTTAACAAACATACTCTGGGATGAGATTTTATCTTACTTCATAACATTTCATGACATGAACAGTAACAGCCATCAACGACGGCCCCTGTAGTGACCAGAGTCACTGCCCCAAGCCAGTTCCTCATCATTCTGTTCTCCAGTTGAAGTCTCTGTTCTCTGAACAGCAAAATGTTAATTGGGTGCAAGTTAGTGTTGAAATGTGGTTGCATTTTACAGTTCCAGGCTGCACCAGTGCAGGTTCCAAGTGCTTAAATCAAGCCCTGATTAGGTATTGGTGGGTTACTTTGATATCATGAAAATGGGATCACTGCTACGTGTTTGGATTTCAAATGATACTTTGAATTTTGGAATGTATGAAAATGAAAAAGGAGTAGTGTTGAACATGTTTAAGGCTTTTTTTGCGGTCTCGTAAATATTAGAGTTGGTTGTCAGCAACATATGCTGGCCGTAATAGACGCATCGTAACAGATCGAGTTGTCCGGCTCGATGACTTGGTCTATGCCTGTCGTCTTACTCCGGTTAGTGCAGTTAGTTGAATTTGTGTGAATAAGTTGATTGTCTGGTCCACACTTGGTTATACATACAGGCCATGTCACATTGCTGCAATGTTGCTGGGTGCACTTTATATAGCCGTAATGTTGTTGGGTGCGGTTCATATAGCTGAAACGTGGCTGAGTGCGGTTTATATATCTGTAACGTGGCTGAATGCGGTTTATATAGGTGTAATGTTGCTGAGTGCGGTTCATATAGCTGCAACGTGGCTGAGTGCGGTTCATATAGCTGTAATGTTGCTGAGTACGGTTCATGTAGCTGTAATGGTGCTGGGTGCACTTTATATAGGTGTAATGTTGCTGAGTGCGGTTCATATAGCTGCAACGTGGCTGAGTGCGGTTCATATAGCTGTAACGTTGCTGGGTGCAGTTCATATAGCTGTAACGTTGCTGGGTGCAGTTCATATAGCTGTGATGTTGCTGGATGCGGTTCATATAGCTGTAACGTTGCTGGGTGCGGTTCATATAGCTGTAACGTTGCTGGGTGCAGTTCATATAGCTGTAATGTTGCTAAGTGCGGTTCATATAGCTGTAACGTGGCTGAGTGCGGTTCATATAACTGTAATGTTGCTGGGTGCGGTTTATGTAGCTGTAACGTTGCTGGGTGCAGTTCATATAGCTGTAATGTTGCTGGGTGCAGTTCATATAGCTGTAATGTTGCTGGGTGCAGTTCATATAGCTGTAATGTTGCTGGATGCGGTTCATATAGCTGTAATGTTGCTGAGTGCAGTTCACATAGCTGTAACGTTGCTCGGTGCAGTTCATATAGCTGTAATGTTGCTGGCTGCGGTTCACATACCTGTTATATTGCTAAGTGTGGTGTGAAGCAAAACACACACGTGCAGATACATGCATTCACACACGCGCACGCACGCACACGAACATGGCATTTGTGGATGAGTACAAACGTGTGGCTTCATGATCACATGTGTTCATGATCACATATTGTTTCGATTGCTAGGGTTCATGCTGAGTTTAGTCTGATGTTAACGCGCAAGCTGTAACAATTAAGCAGCTTTACCATATGTTCAGTTTACCGCTGACTCGGCAAAAATTGCTAGATAAGGTTCACGTGGTCCAATATCTATAGTACGTGAGGACTCACGTGTGATTATATAGCGTAATGTATAATAAATGAATTATTCTAGCGAATCGTTTGATCAAAGAGTCGCTTAAAACATCTGCCGCAACGTACAAAACGACCATGTCACATTGTAACGCTAATCCAAAGGTTTATCACATATTAAAATCACACCTGTTGACACCTGCATATAGTGTTATGGCTGTGGTGTCTGTAGGGAAGAAATAACGGAATTACGGTTTGTGTTTTTAGACATTCAGGAATATATACTAGTCGAATCACCCCATAGTTTTCATAGTATCAATATGTAACCATGAACCATAACAAAGGAACTGAAACAAAACACTATTTAACTCAAGGAATAATTAAATGACAAATCTAAACACAAGAGTAGTTTATTCATCGAAGCAAATATGGCAAAACATTTACTTATTTTATAGTGCTATGTGTTGTTAAGTATTGCGGTCATTTTTAAGATTCTTGCACACAATCCTCAATAATAATCGAGTACAATGTAAGTATCTGGTGTAATCCCCGCCAACTGCAACGACTTCCTGACCCTCCTAGATCTCGATGAATTTGACGTTGAGGTATGGCTAACATTCTTGATGAACGGCTTGTTCCAGTACATCCAAATTTGATACTGAGGGATCTCTGTGGCGTATTCTGCGACCCATGATGTCAAAAACATGCTCCATGGGATTAGATCTGGGAGCTCATGGTGGGCCAACGTAGAGTTGCTACCGCCTCTTGACGTACGCAATCACCAACGTCAGGTGCACGATGTGGCCTAGCATTGTGTTGAGAATGTTTATGAAATGTGTCCATTCAGATTTTATCTGATTGTATCAAGGTGAAGTTTACAGTCATGTGATAGGCACCCCACACCATCAGGGATCCCCCGTCAAACGGTACTTGCCCCAAGGTATTCTGTTGTGCATATACATCAGTCATCAGTCATGAACAGTGGACATTTCCTCATGACCTCGAACTACAGTGACGTCGAGTGTGACACCAACCTTTTCGGGCTGGATATCGGATCTTGTCTCTTAAACAATTTTGTGCATAATTTATAATATCAGTGATTTCTGCCCTAGACTGTAACTGTTGGTTGAGTACATTACAGTATAGTTTACAGATTGAATTTGTGAGAGTTATGTCTCTATAAGATAACGGGTCAGTATGGTCCACTGTACAACCCATTGGTTGAGGGCTAATTATTCTCTTTCAAAACAGACATTAAATATATTATTCATAGCTGATATAATACATTCTGACTTCAAACATTCAACAGGAATACCATCTATGGCAGGCACCTTGCTACAATGGCTTCTATGTACAGCAACCCGTGAAGATCCGGGTCAGAACTGATCTTCAGTAACCCATGCTTGTCGTAAGAGGCGACTAACGGGATCGGGTGGTCACGGTCGCTTGGTGCGGTTGACACATGTCATTGTATCCCAATTGCGTAGATCCATGCTCATGCTGTTGATCACTGGATTGTCTGTCCTGACACGATTATTTGCGGACCGCCGCCATATAGCTGGAATATTGCTGAGTGCGGCGTAAAACTAAACCCACTCACTCACTATTTACAGCACTCGCAGTTTTCAAAGACACCATAGCTAATAAGATCGCCTGCGTGCCTCATGTACACGCGAGCATGTAACATATGTCGGCAGGAACGAATCAAAATTCCAAAACTATACCACCTGAGATATAAGTGTCAAAAGCACCGACAGGTTAACAAGTGTGACAATCGATTTGGACATACTTTCTAATTATTACAAATATCAGAACCTGTAACGTTAGTACGACTATTCATAATTGTTCGGGGTATTTACATAAATTGATGTTCTTGAAAGTTATGCTGATTGATTTAAAACAGCTGTGTTGACAAAGGTACTGTGTGACATGCAATAAAACGGTAACATCAGACCATTACTGCATCAGAGTCGATAACAATTTGAGGTCGTTCTGTTGTGTCATGGAAATGTTGAATATTGCTGTAGCTAATTCTTATCCATCCATCCATCCATCCATCCATCCATCCATCCATCCATCCATCCATCCATCCATCCATCCATCCATCCATCCATCCATCCATCCATCATTCATTCATTCATTCATTCATTTATATATTTTTTTATTTATCTATTTATTTTTTGGGGAAAATGTTGAACATTGCTGGGGCGAGTGTAGGTGGGGGGCGGGTAGTTGCTGTTGGGGCGGGTAGTAGGTGTAGGTGCTGCTGGGGCGAGGTGTTGTTCTGTTGGGGCGGGTAGGTGTTTCTGTTAGGGGCGAGTGTTGGGGCGAGGTGTTGCTGTTGCTGTGTTGGGGCGAGTAGGTGTTGCTGTTGGTGCGAGTGGTGTGGGTAGGTGCTAGGTGTTGGTGTTGGGGCGGGTAGGTGCTGGTGTTGGGGCGGGTAGGTGTTGCTGTTGGGGGCGAGTAGGTGGGGCGAGTAAGGTTGCTGTTCGGGCGGGTAGGTGTTGCTGTTGGGGCGAGTATGTGTTGCTGTTTGGGCGGGTAGGTGTTTCTGTTGGGGCGAGTAGGTTTTGCTGTTGGGGCGGGTAGGTGTCTTTAAACGCCAGACGCTAGTGAGTGAATGTAGTTTTACACCGCTTAACACCATATTATTTCAGTCTTGTCACGGGCTTCACTTTGTTAGAGGAGGAAAGGCGGACGTGATGTAGATGGTTTCCATATTAGGGAAACCAATTTGCAATGAGCAACTGGAGTGTGACTGGTAACCTTGAACTATATTCGATGCCAATGCAGTCATAGGTATCCATCTGGCCCTTCTGGTACCAGGAAGAAACCAAAATCCGACATGTATCTCGGGTGATTGTCAAGTGTAAAACTATGTTGTTGAATGTTTCATGGTTCAAAGTGGCAAACAGACCGGTGAATACCTTTATAAAACTAATGTAAACACTTAAATTATAAACGAACGGAATTCATTTGAAACATGTACTCGAGACAGTGTAATAGTGTAATGAAGTATTTATAACAATTTCAATG